CATTCATTTCTCTAGAAGGATCTTTGTGCTGGATTTCTTTTTAATTAGGCATTTAGATTCATGTAAGAAGCATCTACCAAATGGGGGAAAAATCAACTAATTAAAGTGTAAAAATGGTTATCTAAAATAGTAAATGCAGGTAGCTCTCTGGCTATGTGAACCAGCTTGATCAAATTTTCTTTTCTTTTTGGGGTCTCTCTCTCTCTCTCTGTGTGTGTCTGTGGGTGTGTGTAAACAGATAAATAGATAAGCTCACAGTGAAATTAGTTTGCAAAATGATAGATGGATTTGCCCAACTTTTACATTTCCACTTTGGAGTAGTATACTTAAAATTTTACTCAACTCTTAATGAAAGACTTTACTTTAAAAACCAAAGATGCTTTTGAGTAAAATACAATAATCCATCTTGTAATATTCTTGGCTAAAGGATTGTTATTGTCGTCTTCTGATTCTGTTTTTACTTTGAGAATTTGTAATTTATCTGTAAACTATGCACTGGTTTCTATATAGATTCTCTATCGAAAAAACTTTGGGAACTATGGAGCTATATTTAACTTTTTACTATAACACTTAAAATTTGATTTACCAGAACTGTTAACAATGCTGCTATTCTTCTGGTTTTCTCATAATATTCTATTATTGATAGTGGCGATTGTTAAATATCAGCATTATAAAGTAAAATTTTCATTTGGTTAGATATTTAAAATTAACAAACTTTTCAAAGCCCTCAGCCTGCAATCCTTCATCTTGGAATTTTAATTTTAGCAAATTTTGTAACTCATAGAAATTTGTTTAATGTAGGCATTTAGATTTGAAATTCGCATGGAATGAAATCATAAAGATTTGTTGTTGTTGTTTATATATATATATATATATTTGAGTCAATTTACCATGTTGTTGTTGATTTCTTTGATTGTATTTATCTATGTATATACTTAAGGATAATAATTTGAATGAATTAAAATAAATTAAATTAAGTAAAACTCAGAAATTGCCTTATTTGAATAGTGTTAAAGTGTGTTGGAAGGAATTTTCCCCACTTAAAAATACATTGGTAAAATTCCATCCTGCATTCCATGTTGGTTATGTATTTTGTCAGCTTCTATGGACAACTGCAAAGGCAATTTCCAAATTTTCTAGGTAAGTAAATAATATTTTGCTGTTGAAATGACATGCTTTCAACTATCTTCAAGGAAAGGATTTTTTTTCTGCACCATGTGTTTTTTTAAAAAATAAATTTCTTCCTTTTCTTCCTTCATTATCTAAAAATATTTAAATAAAATATTTGTGTTTATAGTACTATATTTTCCTCTCTTGCATTTCTTATCAGTATATTCTAAACTTCCAAGAATAAGAAAATAGAGTTATATTGGTATCCTAACATATATCCAATGATCTAATTTATGATGTTTGAAATAGTCTTTCTGAAGATTTTCTGCCATGAAGTGCTAGTTAGTGCTGTCAGATTTAAGATATTCTCTGTATTTTTCTGATTAGACTGTTGATTATTGAAGACAACTAGGTACACACCTCTGTTCCATCCTAAAGTTCACTGGATGGCCTTTCTCTATTTACATTTTCCCTCATCTAACTTCTGTGCTGACTTCTGAGATTAAAATTGGAGGATACTGTAAATAGAAACATTTTGTCTTCTTTCTATAACCTACATGTGCAGAGAGAGCATGAGTTAGGTGTTTAGTTTAAACATTTAATTCACCTAAAAATAAATATTATCATTTGAGGTGTCTGATCAACTTGTAAATCATATTCAACCTGACCTTGATAGAATTGTAATTATTTAGAAACAACAACATCTGTTTGGATGTACAGATGAGAATAGCAGCCAAGAGTGCTTCTAACGGACTTAATTTGATATCCCAGTTCATCTATTAGTTCATTTTTGTCTGATTTAGTCATAGCTATTTGAGAATTGTTACCTTCATATTGGATTTCTGCATTGGGACTTTCCTTGGAAGGATACATAAACTTCCACAAACTATGACCCGGCTGCGGTTTAAAACTAGTTAATAGTATCTCACTTAGACCACTTCATAGTGCTTTAGAACCCTCTCTAAGCAGTTTACAGTGTCAGCATATTGCCCCCAACAATTTGAATCTTCATTTTACCAACCTTGAAAGGATAGAAGGCTGAGTCAACCTTGAGCCTGCGGGTTTGAACTGCGGGTAGTTGACAGAATTAGCCTGCAATACCGCATTCTAACGACTGCGCCACCATGGCTCCTAAAAGTTAAAGGAATCATATGTTAATTTTGATCCAGTTTTGTCAACATGTTTGTTAAGGATGCTATCTTTTGCTTTTTTCCCTCCTGATTAATTGAAGTCTTTCTGATGTTGCTTCTTCCCAAAGTTTTTTCCTTTGCTTGAATATTGTTTGAATATTATCAATTTCAGGGGCTTTTGTGTTGCCCCAATAAGTGTGGGGGGGGAGGAAATAGTGGGAGGATGTGACCATGGTGCCTAGATGGTGGAATGGCTTTCACAGAATGGTGTCTTGACTTCTTGTAAACTTTGCATGAGGTTTTGTTTATTCAAACTGACATTGAATATTGCAATACTGTAACATCATAAACGATATCACCAAAATCTATATTTAGGTTCAGCAGCTATTTAGATATCTTTTAGATATCTTTTGATAAGAATAAACACTAGGTTTAGTTTTCAAGTCTTTATATTTTATTTTGATATTCTATTTGTCTGACATTTGGATGTTGTTGTTTATTACAAATTTAAATACATCAAAAGAACTTGCCACTAAATATAATTTTAACTTCCATTACTATCTTACATTTAGCTCTGTCATAGACTATAAATGAAAAAAATATATGAAAATAACTATGTTGCAAGTGCTTCATTTAATATTACCTAATATTTTAAAATATTTATTTAATAAAGTAATGGAAGCCTTTTCTCCATTTGCATGTGACTTTGTTTATTTACTGGCTTTATAACTTTACTGATACATTAATTGTCCCTATTGGCTGCTATTTGCAATTTTATTGTATTGTAAAATATATATTGTCTTTTTTTTTTGCTTAAAGTAATTCTGTGTTGTTTTAAGCTATCACAGTATATAGAAAGACAGAGTTTAAAATTTTAATTCTAACATAAATAAACTCTAAAAACATTTTAGCAAATATTTATCTCCTCCTCCTCCTCCTCCTCCTCCTCCTCCTCTCTTCAAGGGAAGGGCTGACGTGTAGATGTGTACAGGTAAAATAAAAGGGAAGAAGTTCATTCTAAAAAATATCAATTATTTGTTGGAGTTAATATAGAATGGAGATGAATATAGGATCACTTTTAATTTCAGAATAAAATAATCATTTCAGCAGTTGAAAAGGGTACAAAGCAGTAAACAACCCTGCTTCGAACGTCACATCATTTAGGATCCTTTTTGAATGGTATTGTTGCCAGTAGATCATTTATTTTTAAATTTAGTGGGAAAATTCTCCTAAGCTTTTGTATAATTGGAAAATGGAATGCATATTAAAGTTATATGCATTTCCCAAGCTCTTAGATTTTTTTCATAATTAAGAATATATCTATTTTTAAAAAATAACAAAAAGTAATGAAGTTAAAGGATCATTTACCACTTTTAGATTAAGATGAGAAAAAAATACATGTATGTGTTTTTTTAAATAAAAAATTTCAGAGAAATTCAGAAAAAATACATATTTATATGATTCATATGTATCTTACATTGTAATGAAAAATTATACAAAAGGATAGCATTTTATAAATCTTATGCAGAATATATTAACATTTGAATGGTAGCATTGTCCATCACTGATTGGAGTTATTAAGGAACTTGAATATTGCAATACTGTAACATAATGAATTTTTCATCAAAATCTATATTTAAGTTCAGTAGCTATTTAGATATCTTTTTGGAAGAATAAACACTAGGTTTAGTGTTCAAGTCTTTAAATTTTCTTTTGCTTCTTTAATACTTCCAGATGTCTGACATTTGGATGTTGTTGCTTATTACAAATTTAAATTCATTTAAGGAACCTCCTGCTAAATGTAATTTTAACTTTCATTCCTGTCTTACATTTAGGCTATAAAGGGAAAAAAATGAAAATAACTATATCGCAATGCTTCATTGAATATTATCTAATATTTTAAATATTGTTTATTTAATAAAAATGGAAGCCTTTTCTCCATTTCTAATTATTACAATGACAGATGCTTTCTGATCATTTAAAAAAAAGATCGTGTCTCTAAAATAAAAAGCAAGAAAGCTGTTTTAGAATATGCATTTTTTTTCAAAATTGATTCTGAAATTTTATTTAGCTATTGCATATTTCTCAGATTTGCTTGGAAATATTATAGTTGACAATAGTCTGTGTGAAAAAGGATCAGAACGAATTTGGGAATCTAAGGTTGCTTAAAAAAAGCTCAAGATTTTCTGGTTCATGTGCAGTGATATTGAACTCTTTAGTCATATGCTTTAATTTGGGCATGGAGTTGACCTGATGCTGTGCAGGGACACCACTGCATCCCTTCATTCAATTCACTCTAATTATCCCCAACTTCCTGGGGAGCCTGCTTAGATGGAACTAGCCGTGAATGTTTGTTGTTAAGTAGTAAGATATTAGGCTGTTACATTTAACAAAATGGTTTTAGACTCTGAATTTACATATAGATGATCAGTGTACTATGTTCAGATTTGTATTTGCGTGTTTCTAAATATCCCTGAATTTATCATAAAGTCCTTATGCTTGTATTTCAGCATAAAGCGAAATTTCTTATTGTATATCCTTATTTGCACTGTGTGTACCTGTCTTCATTATTTATATCTATATTCTTCTCTTGTATGTCTGATTTTGAGTGCTGGGATTTATATGTGCATATAATTTACACAATGTATTCATATGCCATTTGTGTCTTTTTTTGTTCCTTAAACATTAATAGCTTAGGGAAATAATAGTAAACATTGGCTGGCACATGTATATTAAAATGTAGTCATTTTGTCTTTGCAGGTCCACGTGAAAATGGCCGATGAAGCAGTCTGTGTTGGCCCAGCTCCCACTAGTAAAAGCTACCTCAACATGGATGCTATCATGGAAGCCATTAAAAAAACGCGGGCCCAAGCTGTGAGTCTGAATGAATCTCTCCTCTGCAGCTGTTTCATATATAGAAAGCAAGGACACTAGAGTTTGTATTTAAAGATTAAAAAAAAGTGAGGGGAAGAATGATTGAATATGCTATTTCAGTTTAGTTCATGTCACATGAGTTAAATGTGGCCGAAATTGCTACTGGAAATCAAAGGCTTTTGTAGCATCTGGCAGTGCCGGTCGCTGATCCTGCAGGTGGCTGCTGGATTCAGCTTTCACACCAGGGAGCAGCTTCAGTTCATTTCCAAATTTGCTGGGGAAAAAAAAAATCCCAATTAGTTTAGAACACTAACCCTTTCTGTGCCATAGCTTCTTGTTTGGATCTTCCCTACAATAGCGTGTGATTTGATTTTTTAACAATAGTTTTATTTTCAAACTTTTTAAAGATCTCGCCAGTATGAGAATGTGCACGCAGCAAAGACTTGCATGGAAATACATGGTGCATCCAGATATTAGATGTTATACCAGATACTATTTTTAAATGTGTTGTGTTACTGACGAAATGTATTGGAGTAGATCAGTGCTCATGCTACTTCCATTTAGTCTGTTTTTTCTGCTGAATTAGGACTAGATACAAAATTTTACAGGAATGTTTGTTTTTTTAAAACAACAACAACAACAACAACATACTTTTAGGGCTATTATTGCATCATTGAATGCAAATGTGGTCTTCAGAACCGCTGAATGCAAAAGCATCTTTAAATAAAATGCAAGGGATGGGAGTCGGCCAACACCAGCAATTACCCTGGAGTGTCTCAATTAGCATTATCATTTCTTTTGAAATAAATGTTTCAGTATGGCGCATTTGCAAAGGGGGAGGGGGTGGAAAAATGGCAAACAACATTAATTAGCCAACAGACACTGCAGATGTTTACATTGTTAGTTAAGAAGACTTAATAGAGATAAAAATAGTTCATGCTTTCATCTTTAGTTCACTGCATATATTTTCTTAGTTGTGAATTTACATATGATTCAAATTATGAAACTGACTATTTTTTCACATTACTTTGTTTTGTAATTATATCAAGTGTTGTTTGTTGTATAGAGATCTGCATAATGTGTTCATTATTTTGGTGAAGGGGCACGTTAGCATTTTATCTCAGTCTACAGATTTTATATTCTGTTTTCTTTGAAACTTTGCGTTCATACTGATGCTAGGAACTTGGGTGAAGCAACAGTTAAGGAAATGATTAAGAGAAAAAAACAAACTATAAACTTGGTAAAGTAGAGATACTTACAGATTTGAATGGTATGGAAAAGGTCATGTTGAAAGAAATGTAACAAATTATGAGAATGGTTCAATTAAGTGGAAATAAAATAGATGGAAAACTAGTCAAATATCTATTTCTGTCAAATATCTATCTCTTTGACGGATATTGTTTTCAACTAGGGCAATCCATATTTAGCGTATCTAGAATATATGTTAGGTGTTCTCTATAAATTAAGTATACACACTTGCATGCAGAGTATTACATCAGAAATGTGTGACCTGGAATGATGTCACAGAGATCATGTAATGTTGGGTGGCCTGCTTTATTATGTAATTTTAAGTAAATTGATAGTGCTTTTTCCTTATTTTTTTTAAAGGTGCCACATATGTAAATGGGGCCTAAAAAGTGCTAGATATAGTAGATGAATTGAGGTTTTTAAATGTAATTAGTGCAAACATTTCAAATAGAAAGAAATTTTTTTACAGTGAATTTCAAAAAAAATGATTCAGCAGAATAAATTCATCTAATATAAAGTAAAATCCGAGTGTATATTGTGCAAATTAAGTTCTGTGTGCCTGGCGTTAGAAAACTTAATTTTGTCTTTTATTTTTTTAAGGTTCACCCAGGATATGGATTCCTTTCAGAAAACAAAGAATTCTCCAAGCGTCTGGTAATTTAAAAAAAATTATTCCATTTGTTTCCTCAGAGAAATTATGTTGTACATAGGTGCAGACTATATATCTTATTAGTGGTAGGATTTATACACTGAAGTTGAAATCAGAGATTAAAATTACCTCTTCTCTCCCTCCCCCACCTTCCCAGCATTTACTGGAGATGAATGAAAGTTGAGAGGAAAGAAAGCAGGTTCCTCATGAATTATGACTCTTGGGGGTGGGGGGAGCAGCTGCTATCGTGTAAAGCTTCATTTTATTTTTTTAAAATCCAAAATATATTTATTTAAAGCTTGCTATGTGTGGTGAAAGTTTTGCATCTTGTTTTTTAGCAACATCAGCAGCAGCAACAACAATAAAGTTAGCATGAATTAGTAAAAAAATATTATATAGTATTCATGGATCAATTCCTTCCTTCCTTTGGGTTATTTTACTTGCTTCTTATTGTGAAAATAATTGTGGCTTTAAAAATCATACAAAGATGTCCGGGATAAGATGTTGATTATATTCTGTTTAATTTTATTATAATATTGGCTCTGAACTATTGCATTTAGATGGATTTAAAAATTTGGTACTCATTTTCATGAATATTAATTTTTTTACAATGTTATTCATATATTTCCTAGAAAGTATCAGTCAATGTATCTGAGCAAGTAAGATGATAGTTTTATCCCCACATACTGTATCTACATGCGCTATATTGCCAAAAGTATTCGCTCACAACTGAATCTGATTATTTGGATGGGTGAGCGAATACTTTTGGCAATATAGTGTACAAGTTCAAATGAATTTGGATTTCATGTTGTTATTAACATTGTTGAAGCATTTGATCAGGAGGACTGAGATAGTATAGCCAGATTATGAAGAATTAATATAAGCACATTTATGTATTCATTTACTTATTACAAAGTAAAATGCTCCTTTCCCCCCCATTTTGATTAGAAGGAGAATAATAGACACCAGATTATATCTAAGAGCCAAAGAATATGTGTAGTAATAATGTCTATGCTACTCTTGTATTCACTGGCTATTTGATAATCTGCTAAGAACTGCAGCTGAAATAAAAAATAGCTAACTCTCACCAAACAGTGGGGGGAAAATTCTACTGACATATGCATTATTGGAATATCTGCAGACAATGTATGTGCTAGAGTGCTATTGTATGGAAATTTTCAAAGTAAAAATATAAAAATAATGAAATAAAAATGAATGAGACTGCGTCTAATTCCGGAATGTGTGTGTGTGTGTGTGTGTGTGTGTGTGTGTGTGTGTGTGTGTACTAAAGTATTACATAATTCAGAAACAGATTGTAATATTTATCAAATAAGTTTCATTAATTAGCAATTTGTTCTTTCTTGCGTGGAAGATATTGGCTAAGATTTAAGTCTTGATTTAATTGTCAAAGAGAAAATAAACAATTGTGTTAGGACATGATTTAATCGATTTCCCAAGTTTGCAGTACGTGCATTCCCCAAAACAAGCAATTTGCTAATACACTATATTGCCAAAAGTATTCGCTCACCCATCCACATAATCAGACTCAGTTGTGAGAGAATACTTTTGGCAATATAATGTACGTTTTTATAACAAAGTATATATTTGCAACTAACTAGAACATTATAAAAGGCAGTTATATTACCTGTGAATATAACCCTGTCAGTATGTAGTTCTTCAGTTTATTTTTGTGATGCTTAACTTCAGAGTATCCAGAAGCATGCACAACAGCAGGCACTACCTAGGCTACCAATGCACTGTACTGGGATTGCGTTATGTACACTGGATGGGAAAGGCCTTTTATACAATAGCTATTCAGAATGATGCAACAGCTCCTCCTCCCTATATTTTTAGGAAATGAATTCACTCACAACTTTTGTGAGTGAATTTTTGTGAGCCGTGGTGGTGCAGTGGTTAGAATGCTGTATTGCAGGCTGACTCTGCTCCCTGCCAGGAGTTTGATCCTACTGGCTCAAGGTTGACTAAGCCTTCCATCCTTCTGAGACTGTCGGGGACAATATGCTGACTATGTTAACCGCCTAGAGAGGGCTGTAAAGCAGTCTAAGTGCTATTGCTATTTTGGGTTGAGTGATCATTTGGATTTGAATGTACAACTTCCAGCACAGTGAAGGATTCAGTGGGCTTTCTGTGAGATATTGAGAATTGCTCCCAAAAAACAGACACCAGGATTTTTAGGGGTAAAAGGAGTTGTCTGAATGACCTGCAAGGTTTGTCATTCATTATGCCCATGAAACTCCCCAAAATTGTGCATGCACCGAACCGGCAGTAATGCCGGCAGCAACCCACCCCTGAACAGCATCTAGTACAAAAGAGGCCCTCAACCCTGGTCCGTGGCCCGATACTGGTCTGAGGCCTGTTAACCAGCCCATGCAAGCGAAGGGCAAGTGCTCAAAGCTCCATTGCGCAGGTGCAGGATTGAGTTGCGCATACGAAACCAGCCTCTCCCCCCCGCCACTGCTGTTGTTGGTCAACAGAGCCAGAAAGGTTGGGGATTGCTGTAGTACAGAATTTAGGATTTATGTGAGCTGTTTTTCTACTGGGAAAATACTGTTCTTCATTCAGTGGAAGTGCAGTATCCACCACAGCTTGAATGAAGATGGAACCTATGCTCTAGTGGAGCAGGGACTGTATATTATTGGCAAAATAGAAATATAGAATTTTAGATACCTGTTCGGTTCCACTGTATCCAGTTAATATTTTACAGATCATTCTATAACTAACTGATCTCTTCAAGATTTGTTTGGCATAGCTGCTGAATGGCCTGCCTCTAGATATATTTCATTTATCTCCTTAACCTCTTATAGTGTATGTCCCTATTCTTTTCTGTACTACAATATTTATTTCATTTTCCAAGCATTCTAACATCCAAATCTATAGTATTATTTGTTGCTACATGCATTTATTTTTCCTGTTCTGTGCTCTTATTTTTCATCTATTTTTTTTCTGTATCTCTAAAACTTATTTGTCTTTCCTAATATTTGTTCTGCCTCTTTTTTCATTATCTTAATGGATGTGACTGCAACTAGGGAGGGGTTTTGTCATTTTCCATCCAAAGATTTTCCTCTATCCTAATTTTTGATGGCGTTTTAATTTCCTACTTTTTCTGTCTCCTTCCTTTATCTGGGTTAAAGGGAAGTGGGAGAAGATTCAGATGGTAGAAAAGTTACTTATTCATTGGATTCGTAATACTTTGCAAAAGCAAAGTATAGTGCATCAGGTCATTAAGGTCTGGTCCTCTAATGGCTACCTTAGAGGGAAGGTCTTGTCATACTCATATTGTGGTTTTTTTCCTTGGTTTTTTAAAAATCTTTTTGTGTTTTTCCTTGCAGTGGCAGAGAAAATAGAAATTATTTCATTGTTACTGTATAGGTATTTAAAAGTATTTTAATAATTGTCCTTAAAATTTCCAAATTAGGATAAACATTTTTTAAAGTCAGATACAATAAGGTGGATGAAAGCTATGAAGTTGTATAACATCCATAAAGGATCCATGAAACAATTCATCATCATCATTTTAGCCATTATCTAGCCACTGCAGAATGAAGGCCTCTTCTACAGTCCTGAGCTTTCTTTTGCCAATTGGACACCACAAAACCACAATTTTGTGATGTTGTCGATCCATCTTGTTTTAGATCTCTTTTGTGGATGCTTTTTATCAAGTAGGATCCATTCTATGACTGCCTTGGTCCACCTGGCAACGGTTCTTTTTGCTATGTAACCAGCCCATTTCCATTTCAGTTCTTTTACTCTCTTGATGGCATCATATATTTTTGTTTGTTCTCTAATCCATGTGCAGGTCTTTCTATCTTGTCTTATGATGCCAAGCATGTACCTTCCATGGCTTTTTGTGCCCCCTGTAGCTTTTTTATCAGTTGTGAGGTTAGTGTCCATTTTTCACTAGCATGTTAGAGTAAATAGCACATATTACCTTAAAACAATTACCGATAGAAGGACTCAAATTAAACAAACAAACAAAAAAAAAAAACCCAATTTTTTTTATTTGGGGCTAAAAGACCAGCAAAGTAGATACTAGGGCAAATTTTCTAGGGAGAGCATTCAGGAGTTGTTACAAATTGGGTCGGTCATAATCTGCTGGCAACTTACCTCTTTAGATAGCAGAGGTATCATTGTAGATACATTGTGCACATTGATAAAAATAAATGGTTTAGGGCCATAATAGAGGAACACCACAGTGGAGGTCTTTGATGGTGTAATCCTACCTCCACCCACTCTGCCCCTTCCCTCCATTTGTATTGTGCATTTTAATTTTTTATGTTTTAACCAGTGGGATTCAATTTTTTTTACTACTGGTTCTGTGGGCATGACTTGGGCATGGCATGGCTTGGTGGGCGTGGCTTGGTGGGCATGGCAGGGGAGGGATACTGTAAAATCTCCATTCCTACCACATTCCAGGGGAAGGATACTGTAAAATCTCCATTCCCTCCAGGCAAAGGTTACGGCAAAATCCCCATTTCCTCCTGATCATCTGGGACTCGGGAGGTAGAGAATAGATGGGGGGGGGCAGTCAGAGGTGGTATTTATCGGTTCTTCGAACTACTCAAAATTTCCGCTACCGGCTCTCCAGAACTGGTCAGAACCTGCTGAATACCACTTCTGATTTAGATAGATGATAGATAGATAGATAGATAGATGATAGATAGATAGATAGATAGATAGATAGATAGATAGATACACCCACACCCGTGTGTATGTGTGTGTGTGAGAGAGAGACAGAGAGAGAGAGATAGACTGTAAGCCGCCCAGAGTTACCCTATGGTAAAATGGGTGGGCAATAAATAAAACACACAAATCTCAGATACACTGATTATACATTATGAAGGGCTTCAGTGATCAAAACCCAGCATTTTGATTTGCCACAATTTGGAAATAATTCAGTCGGGAAAGCATACATATAATGTAACTATAACTCCAAGGCCCAGTTGGTAATCTAGGAACTGCATACTGTATAGCTTTTAGAGGCATA